GTTGTAATTGTACCAGCTTCCACCAGTTTCTCTGGCAGCTCATCCCATACACGCACCACCTTCTGCATGAGAAACTTGCCCCTTAGGTTCCTTTTAAATCTTTCCCCTCTCACTTTAAACCTATGCTGTCTAGTTTTGGACTCCCCCATCCCCGGGAAAATACTTTGAGTATTCACCCTATCCATGCCCCTCATGATTTTATAAACCTCTGTAAGGTCATCTCTCAACCTCTGACGCTCCAGGGAATACAGCCCCAGTCTATTCAGCCTCTCCCTATAGCTCAAACCCTTCAACCCTGGCAACATCCTTGTAAATCTTTTCTGAACTCTTTCAAGTTTCATAACATCCTTCCTGACGACCATGGAACTCAAACTGAGACGATAGTTGCCAGGCCCCTTTAAATGTTCATTTTTTTCGGTTGATGTCTGTTCTCTGAGGCCCCAGTGCTGCTGCAATCACAGCCAGTATAAGTGAGTCTTTGGCCTTTTATTCAGGACAAACCCAACAGTTTAAAAGCACCCTTCAGCACTCTAGGAAAACAAAGCTAATTTGATCTGTTTAAAATAAATCTACCAGGGATGTACATGTACTAAATTAAATGGAGGGGACAGAAATAGACAGACTTGCATCAAACCTACTCAACAAATTATGATTTTCTATAACCCTATAACATTCTATGGGTGCTCTGCCCTAAAGCAGGTCCTTGTCTTATTGTCTGTAGATTATTCATCCAGAGCTTTTTGTTTCTTGGCATAAGAATTTAAAGACTCCACTTTCAGTTAACCTGGTCAAAGAAAACCATTATCTTTTGGAGAAAGAGATTCAATTAGAAAACATATTTTATCTCATGTATTTTGAGAAAAATAAAAGACTCAAGCTGTAACTGGCAGTAGATAGGTCAGTTGTATGGATTTTTTTCTCATGTACTATCATGATTATTTTAGAAAATAAAACTTACAAATCATAAATTATTAGGTGCTGTGAAGAACTTTTTTGCCTTTAGACATTTGCAAAAGAGACCCTTGGAGTAATGAAGTGGATCATCCCAATAGCAGTCGCTCTGTCATGTTATGGTTCTCTTAATGCATCAATTATGGTAACTTCAAGGTAGGTTTCCCTTCCAACTCCCAGTAAATGGTAGAGTAAATCTAATTACATTGTTTGTATAATGTCATCTCTCATTGGTAATCTGTTTTTAATATGTTTCTGTAAAATAGTGCTCAATTTTCCATAAATGTATTTCGCTGTATCTATAAAGTTACTCCATTAATAATTGCTAAAATTGAATTGTGTGTAGAATTTGGTTTATTTTACGCAGCATAGTAATTTTTCTCAAGATGTCCCTCTTCACGGAGCTGCAACATTAAAGAAAGCATTATTTTTTTACAAATCATCTATGGCATACAGGCTTTTATTGTTTATGGAATTTAGAGATTTAAGGAAGTTAAAAACTTCATCTTGTTCACAATTAAAATAAACCACAGTTGACAATCCAGTGCAATAAAGTGGCAACACAATCTCTTTTACTACTATTTAACCAAGTTTGTCTGCATATTGTTTCATTATTGCCCATCCCTACTTACCCTTAGGAAGGTGGTGGTGACCTGCCGTCTTTAACCGCTGCAGTCAATGTATAGACCCACAGTGCCATTAGAGAGGGAATTCCGGGATTTTGACTCAACAACACTGAAGGAATGGTGATATATTTCCAAGTCAAGATGGTGAGTGGCTTGGAGGGAACTGGCAGGTGGTCGTGTTCCCACGTATCTGCTGCCCTTGTCCTTCGAGATGGAAGTGATCATGGGTTTGGAAGGTACCGTCGAAGGGGCTAATCAAGCAGGCTGCTTTGTCCTGGGTGGTTTCAAGCTTCTTAAGTGTTGGAACTGCACACATCCAGGCCAAGTAGGGGAGTATTCCATCACACTTTGATAATGGACAGGCTTTGGGGAGTCAGGAAGTGACTTACCGCAGGATTCCCAGCCTCTGACCTGCTCTCGTTGCCACTGTAGTTACATAGCTAGTCCAGATTAGTTTCTGATCAATGTCAAACCCCAGACATTGATAGTAATGGTGATGTCAAGGGGCAGTGATTAAATTATCTCTTGTTGGAGATAATCATTACCCGGTTTGTGTGGTGCAAGTTTTACTTGCCACTTTTCAGCACAAAACTGGATATTGCTGAATTTGAACATGAACTACTTCAGCATCTGTGGAGTTGTAAATAATGCTGAACATTGTGGAATCATCTGTGAACATTCCCACTCCTGACCGTATGGTGGAGTAAAGTTTATTAAAGAAGCAGCTGAAGATTGTAGGGCCTAGGGCACTATTCTAAGGAACTCCTGCAGAGATTTCTTGAAGTTGAGATGACTGACTTTGAACAGTCATAACCATCTTCTTTTGTGTCAGTTATGACTCCAACCAGCAGACACCCCTGATTCCTGTTGACTCTAGTTTTGCTGGGGCTCCATGATGCTACATTCAGTCAATTGCAGCCTTGAAGTCAAGGGCAGACGGTCTCACTTCATCAGATAGGGTAATGGGTGATGATAACTACAAGTTTTCCTTGTCCATGTTTGTCCTGATGCCTTCAGACTTCATGAAGTCCTGAATTCCTGAACTAATCTTGAGGACTGTTGAGGTTGGTTGATTGGCCGAGCTGGTTTCTTATTTCGCAGATATTTCGTTACCATGCTGGGTAACATCCTCAGTGCAGCCTCCGATGGAGAGTCGCTGTGTTTTCCCGCTTGGTTTTTAAACTCTGGAGTCCGTTGAGATGGATTGCCTCACTTCTGGTTTTCCTTCGTAGTGGGATGTATATAGGGTCGAGTTCAATGTGTCTATTAATAGCATGCTTCGTGGAGTGCCAGGCTTCTAGGAATTCTTGTGCCTGTCTCTGCCTAGCTTGTCCCAAGATCTTGGAGTTGTCCCAGTCAGAATGGTGATTCTCCTTGTCAATGTGGATTGAGATGAGTGAGTATTGGTCATGCCTTTTTGTAGCCAGTTGGTGTCCATGTGCTCTCGTTGTTAGTTTCCTTCCTGTTTGTCCGATGTAGTGTTTCTCACAGTCTCTGCAGGGGATCTTGTAGATGACATTGGTCCTGTCCATGGCGGGGAGTGGGTCTTTAGGTGAGCAGTTGTCATAGGGTTGACGTGGGTTTGTGTGCCCCTCTGATGCCTAGCAGTCGTAGGAGTCTTGTGCTGAGTTCCGTTGTGTGTCTCTGATGTAAGGTAGCGTGATGAATGTGTTGGGGCCTGTAGTATCTTCTTGATGTTGTTCGTGTAGGCATCTTCTGACCCAGTTTTTTGGAACTGGAAGGAAACTAACAACAAGAGTACATGAACAGCTACTGGCTACAAAAAGACACGACCAATACTCACTCATCTCAATCCACATTGACAAGGAGAACCACCATTTCGACTGGGACAACACCAAAATCCTGGGACAAGCTAGGCAGAGACAGGCACGAGAATTCCTAGAAGCCTGGCACTCCACGAAGCATGCTATTAATAAACACATTGAATTCGACCCTATATACATCCCACTACGAAGGAAAACTGGAAGTGAGGCAATCCATCTCAACAGATTCCAGAGTTTAAAAACCAGGCGGGAAAACACACCGACACTTCATCAGAGGCTGCACTGAGGATGTTACCAAGCATGGTAACGAAACAACTGCGAAACAAGAAACCAGCTCGGCGAGCCAACCAACTTCAACAACCTCAACACCCACAACTCGAGCCACAAATCTACTCCAAACCTTAGAATCTTGAGGACTCCCACGGCCATTCCCTCCCATTAAATGCTAGCGCTCTTCCTCCTCTAATTATTAAGAAGTCTGTGAGATTGGCCATGAAGTATAATTTGGTGACTATGACTGTCAGTTTGTTACTTGACTAGTCTGTGGGGCAATTCTAGTTCTTGCACATGTCCCCAGGTAGTAGGATGGCTTTGCAAGTTCAACTGAGCAGAGAGTGCTTTTGTTGTTTTCAGTGCCTAAGTTGGTATTAAGTGGTCTGTCTAGTATAGTTCATATTATCCTTCTCCGTACTGGTTTGAATACAGTTTAGTTGCTCGCTAGGCATGTCAAAGAAGAGTTAAAAGTCAGCCATAATACTGTAGGTCTGGAGTCAGTTGTAGGCCCAACCAGCTAAGAACAGCAGATTTCTCCCAAGGACATTGGATGTGTATTATGACAATTCAGCAATTTCATGATCATTATTATTGAGACCAGTATTTTATACCAGATTAGGTATTTGAATTTAAATTTCCCATATTACCGTGGTTCGATTTGAACTCAAGTTTCCAGAGCTATAACTCAGGCCTCTGCACTAGTCTCATGATACCTGCAACTTTTATCAGCATTTCCCTTGTGTGGAAAGACTGTCAGAATGTTTCATCATTTCAGCAGCATTTTTTTACGTGCTGCCTGGTAGAACAAGGTGAAGAATTAATTGGCTTGATTCCCAATGTAGAAATTTGGTCTTCCACTTCTGACCTCCTGTACACTTCCTCTTCTTGCACTTTCTCATCAGTGTTTGGTGACTGTTTTCGGGTAGAACAGCTTAGTCTGTGGAATATCCTCTCTAGACTACTCTGCCTAAAATGTTCTCTCCTTTAAGAGCCTCTTCAAACCATTTTTTTAATGATGCTGTTTTCTACATAACTGAAAATGATTTCTTTTCCCATTGAGAAATGCTTTAGAAAAACTACAGTATTAAAAATTCTATGAACTTTGTTATTGTATATTTTATATGAAAACATGCAATCTACTTATAATACAAAGTTCCTTAGCTCAAAATTGTTGTGTAATTCCCCTCTTATGTTATTTACATTGCTTAATTAACTTAATTCTTAAGCACAGAATCAATTTTAAATTGTCAGTAGATGAATAATTTGTCAGCAGAGTGTATTAAGTGTGAAGAAATCACAATATTCTGTGCAAAATTAAATAAAATCAAGAAATTTTTAACATAATGTTTTCTTCTTCCCCTATTAGGTTGTACTTTGTTGCAGCTCGTGAGGGTCACCTCCCTCAAATACTGTCCATGATCCATGTGACCCAATTCACACCAGTCGCAGCACTACTCATAAACGTAAGAATTCGATCTCAATGCTGTCATCACATATTCTTTTCCTGCAACTGCAGTCACAATGAAAAATTTTGACTTGTAAGGTAGTTACAGAATGGAAACCCTGACGAGCCATGTGTTTCACTATTTCAACAGCAAGTGTCCTATTATGTGCTCTATAATAAGACAAGGTTAATTCTGTCATAACTCCTCAACATGATGTTTCGATCTATAAGAAATAACACAGAAGTCAACATGCTTTGTCTAAAATACTGACATTTGGAATAGTGCGAGAGCTACCCCCGAGTACCATCTCGGCACAACTTAATAATGCCATTTTCAGACATCTGGAACAAAGCATTGAAAATAGCATGGCTATGAAAAGCAAACAGAATAGAAAGCAGATCAAGAAAACCATGAATTGAGGAAGAGTCACTCGACCCGAAACCTTAACTCTGATTTCTCTCCACAGATGCTGCCAGATCTGCTGAGCTTTTCCAGCAATTTGTTTTTGTTTCTGATTTACAGCAACCACTGTTCTTTCGGTTTTTACTTTGAAAATAGTTGTTAGCCCGCAGAGGTTTCAGTTTCACCTGATTGACAACTAACTTACATGAATTTAGATGCTCTTTTCAATGGAAGATCTATAGGTTCTTTCACAACAACAGAATCAGCCAAAGAACTTTACAGTCAATGAAGAACTTCAGAAATGCAATCACTATTCTTGAAGGAATTACATATTTATTGTTAAGTATTTATAATTTTGTTGGATAGGCTTTCCATAAAATTTTAGTGTCCAGTTCTGGTTTCCCTGTTATAAGAAGGATACTATTAAACTTGACAGGGTTAAGAAGAGATTTACCAGGAAATGAGGGTTTGATGTTATAAGCAGAGGCTGATCTTTTTTCACGAGAGCATAGGAGGTTGAGAGGTCATTTTATAGAGGTTTATAAAATAATGAGGGGTACAGATAAGTTGAATGGCAGGTGTCTTTTCTCTGGGGTGGGGAATTTCAAGACTGATGGGCATATTTTTAAGGTGAGAGAAAGATTTTAAAAAATCGTAAGGGGCAAATTTTTTACACCGAATCAGTTCGTGTGTAAGATGAACTTTTAGAGGAAGTGGTGGATGCGGGTACAGTTACAACATTTAGAAGACATCTAGATAAGTACGTGAATAAGAAATGTTTGGAGGGATATGGGCCAAGCACGGGCAGGTGAGGAACTAGTTTAGTTAGGGATTATGGTCGGCATGGGCTGGTTGGACCAAAGGGTCTGTTTCTGTGCTGTGTGACACTATGATTTTATAACAGCAAGCAGTTAGGAAAATAAGTGCTGGCAATGAGGGAGTTTCCAAGGCTGCCTTTTGCTGAGAGCCAGGAGTTGGCAGTGCAGCAGGTACAGACAGCCAGTTTTGGACAGTATGAGTGGCTTTTTGCAAGAAGGGCAAGAAGTGGTGGTATAGACCCTGCTGCAGGAGTAGAGGGTCATGTGTAGATGTGTGTGTCGGTTATTGTGAATAGAAACAATGGGCTAGATTTTCCAGTGAGTGGCAATCCCAGGCAGATTGCCAATCCAGCCCTTGTTTTTAACGAAAGAAGCGAGCTCCGCATTTTTCTGAGATTCCACTTACATAGAGTAAAACTTTCAAAGAATGACAAACCACACCCCTTGTCACACCAATCAGCTGTCAAATCAAACATTTAAAGGTCCAGACAGCTACTTTGACAGCTGTTGTTAAAGGGTATTTGCTTAAGATAAGTGTGACTTCAGAATGCTGTGAGGATTGGGTGCCAGATTAATAGGGGTTAGAGGGCGAGGTAGGTAGGTTGCCAACTAGGAAATGGGGTAGCCTGCCAGATGGTAAGCTGATGAAATGTGTAGGGGATACAGTGCCAGGTGAGTAGGGTGGCAAATAATTACTTATGAGTTAGACTATCTATTTAAAAATCTAACTTTTTCTGAGTAACTATTTTACTTAACTTCATCAGGACTATCTGAAGTCTTTGATTTTTATGGAGGGTTCCCAGAGTAGTGAAATTGCGCAGTGGAAAATTTGATTTTCCAATCAATTTCTTCTGAGTGTGCTAATGATGGGGATTCCACAGGATCCCATGCACAACTCCTACCTACGCTTACAAAATGACTATCAAATCAGAGAAAAATCTATCCCAATAACTTATGCTGTTTTTTTGTACTAACTTGAATATTGTAGTAACTAGGAAATTAATGCTTTACTTCTGTGTGATTACTATAATGGAAAGTTGAATCCACATGGTCCAAATGTTAAAACATGTATAGACAAGGTATTATTATTATACAACAGCATCACCCAATAATTGAGTTAATTATATGAAAAATGCCCCCAAAAAGCAAAAGACGAGGCCTTGAGGAAAAAATAAATTGTCTCATTCCCCAGGTGAGAGCTAGTGGAAATAAGATCTATCAGAAATGGGGATGCTCATGCCATGCAACTGTTTTTAAGGTCTTCCAAAATCATCTCAACTGCAGATACCTGGCCCCACATTTTTCAAAAAAAGTAGACATCCTGTAGAACGACCTAGTCTTAAGACAGTCATTCCAACTTTACAATGTTTATATAACAAAAGTGCTTCAGCAGTTTGTAATGTTCTGAAGTTGTGAAACACATTAAATGAAACTCAAGTCTTTTGATTGTTCGAAAGAAAATTGCAAATTTCAGGAACAAAATTACTTGTTTGGCTACTTTACTAACCCAAAACTTTTACCTTTGAAGCATTGTCAGTATGCTGTTTCACTAATGCAGAAGCCTACCTGAAGAAATCTCTATTTCTGTTTGTATGATCCTGAAGGAGCAAGTATGAACCTTACTTCAGTAAGGTAATTAATCCTCTGCTGGATCAATTAACTTTCCCCATGTGAACATTTTGTGACTTTTGCAGGTTTTTTTAGCAACTTTCCAAAAAAATCTCTTTAGCTCTTGTTAAGGGAGCAAGTAAATTTGTCAGTGTCCTATGGAAAATGGCAGGATTTAATATGGGACAGCCCTTGGCAAAACCAAGGTCAGACCCATTTTCCAGCGATCTGTAGAGACTCTAATTTGTTACTAAATAGAATTCCAGTGCCAGAGTGTTTCTTTTGTAACATGTTAATCATTAGTTCTAACCATGTTTAGATTCCTTGATAACAGGATTTTCTAGTGACATTGATGAATTTTATCTAATTGGGATTGTGAGAACCCTCCATTGAAAATAATAGAAGCTAGTTTTAGAACTTCCTGGCAGCTGACATCTAAGTTATCTGACCTTGGTTATCAACTGTTTAAATACCTTATTCAGCAAATAGTATGTTTTGCTCTGATTGGGCTGATCTAGATTAACTCTGGATCAAAGCTAGACCAAAGTCACAGCCTGTGCTTCTTTGTATGGTACCACTCATGAATTACATCTGCCTTAGTGATATGAGTGCAGTAGTGGCAAGATGACCTAATAAAGGCTTGCAAAAGATTTAGCAGCTGTTTCACTGCATGTTTGAACTTTTTTTTTCGAAGTAGACACCTTTGAATAAAAAGTCCCCCAGGCTTTCCCTCTTAAGAATGTAATAAAGGATTCCTCAAGGCTTGCTACAATTCTAATTTATGTCTAATGATAATGTTCACTCTTGGCAGGGTACATTAACAATGTTCTTCCTGATTGTGGAGGATGTATTTGAACTCATTTACTACTATAGCTTCAGTTATTGGTTCTTTAAGGGACTGACTATCATTGGGAACATCTACCTACGTTTTAAGCAGCCAAACAGACGCAGGCCTCTAAAGGTAAGCCCTACATATACAGAAATAAAATCCAGGAGATCAGAAAGTTTATCCAATAAATAAATCGACTAAGGTCAAGATGTTCCTATTCTTCTATTATGAAGAGTTTACTAATCTTAGAATGGGAATAAGTACAGTTGCCCTCTGTTTCTCTGAGTTAGCCAAGAGAAAAATCAATTTGGTTATACTAATTATCCACTAAGCTCTACTGGAAAGCATCAGATCAGTGTTAGGTTTGATTGTGGTGCCCCTGCTGCAAAGCCTGACATCTCAGGCATGTTGTAAACCACACCCAATGTAAGGAGTAAATACCTAGACAAGGATAGGGAGAATATTGTTGAGAAACATTTTAAGAATGAGCTACTTAGTGTATATTTTCAGGGGAAAGGAAGTAACAAAGGCATAGTGGTAACATTACTGTACTAGTAATAAAGAATCCTAAGTTAATTCTCTGAGGCTACGGGTTCATAAACTTCTCTAGCTGCCATGGTAGGGCAAGTTCAATTAATTACCAAATAAAATCTGGATTTGAAAGCTAGTTAAAGCTCCATAGCGAGCTATGGAGACTATGAAACTATAATTGAATATCATGAATAACCCATCTTGTTCATTGATATCTTTTGGGGAAGTAAATATGCCTTCTTGTCGAGTTTACAAGTGACCTCAGAGTGACAGCAAGGTGGTTGACTTTCAACTGTCCACTAAAATAGCCTATCAGCCCACTTGATTGTACTAAACCACAGCAGAAAAGATGAATCAGTGCTTTGGGTGCATGTAGTATCCCAAGAGGTAGCCTGCCGTCACCTTTTAAAGAGCAGATGGAGATGGACAGCAACTGTTGGCCTTGCCAGCGTCACTCTTGTCTCATGAATGACTTTTTTTTTTAAAACATAAGCCACCACATAAAGCCAGATGTATTAGCTGTTTGACCCATGGTCTTTACTGAATGGATAGGTATTTTCTAATCAACCTTTTCAGAGATGTTATTGCACACCTCTACAGCAGATGGGACTTGAACTGCCTTCACTGCTTGGTGAGAATGGAGGAAAAAAAAATTGGAATCTGGTATCCCACTCTTAATTACTGCCCAGTGACTCATGCTTTAAAAAATACATATACATTTAATTGATAACAGAAGCACCTTTGGTTGTGATGCTTCTCAAGCTCTCTCAGAAAGAATCACCAGCTGTGAGGTGACTTAACAGACACTGCCTTCGCAGTGGGGAGGGGGGTGTAATTCCAAATTATGTAATTGGATTCACTACTTCATAAAATCTAAGATTAAAGATTTCTAACAGAGTGAAGCGAGGCTGACATCAAAATAGTTTTTGAGCAATAAGTACACCAGACTATTAGTATATTTAATGCTTCCCATCATTAACCTTAAACAATTTAGCTCTGCTTTTAAGGTTTTGTGCCCTTCTTCTGGACTGTTCACCTGAGGAAATTACCAATCTGACCAAATCCTTTAATCATCTTGAATAACTCAATTGGGTCTCCCTTTAACAACCTGCATTCAAGGGAATATGAACTGAGTCCAAGCAACTTGCCCTTGTCAGTTAATCCTCTTAACCTGGCATAGTGCGAATCTGCACTGCAGTTACTCCATGGCCTGTTTATCTTTTCTGAAGTGTAGAATAATGAACTCAATGTATTCTACTAGTCTGATTGCTGGTGGCTAATTTACAGTTTAATACAGATCTTATAACTTTGATTTTATTCCTTACAGTTCTTACAAGTCTAACCTCTTTTCTTTCTCACCAATCAGCTCAACCTGCTTTGCCCAATTTTATTCTGTCTGTGTACAGCATGCTTGACAGCAATACCCGCATACACCGACAGTGTTAATTCCCTGATCGGGATCGCAGTTACATTGTCTGGACTACCAGTCTTTGTCATTGGTCACTTCCTAGTAAAGACAAAATGGCCTCCTTGTATCAAAAGAATTACAAGTAGGTAGTAGGTTTAAACAATGTGTTTGTAAATAATGAGCTTTTAAATAACAAATTGTTTGCGTCTTGTAGATTCTGCTGGATATGTTCATGCCAAAATTTTTCAATTGGCATATTGTCCTTTTTGAAAAATAATGACAAGTCATCTAATACCTCCTCAACAGTGAGACTGAAAGCACGTGAAGCCCTGAGCCTACTTGTGGTGTTGACAATCTGTTTCTCTGATGCTGACTGCAGAAAAAAATATTGGCCACACCACAAGGGATAACTCCCCTGCTTTTCTTTAAAGTCATGCCTTGGATTTTTTTAAAATCCACTTGAGTGGATGATAGGGCCTTGGTTTAATATCTCATCTGAGAAACAGCACCTGCAACAACACAGCATCCCGTCAGTAATGCATTAAAGGATCAGCCTTGATTTTAATGTGCAAGAACTGAAATGTGACTGGAAAGTCTATGACTCAAAGGCAAACTTTTAATAATTAGAGTCATAGAATCATCCAGCACGGAAACAGACTCCTCGGTCCAACTTGTCCATGCTGACCAGACAGCCCAATCTGACCGAGTCCCATATGCCAGCATTTGGCCCATATCCCTCTAAACCCTTCCTACTCACATAAAAAGCATCCGGATGGCTAAATGTTGTAATTGTACCCACCTCCACTACTTCCTCTGGCAGTTTGTTCCATCCACGCACCACCCCCTCTGCATGAAAAGTTATCCCTCATGTCCTTTTTAAATCTTGTCCCTCTCATCTTAAACCTATACCTTCTAGTCTTGGATTTTCCTCACCCTAGGAAAAAGACCTTGACTACTTACCCTGTCCATGCCCCTCATGATTTTATAAACTTCTACAAGGTCTTGATACAACCTCTTGATACTCCAGGGAAAAAGCCCCAGCCTATTCAGGCCCTCTCTAACCAAACCTTCCAATTCCAGCAACCTCCTTGTATATCTTTTCTGCACCGTCTCAAATTTAATAACATTCTTCCTGTAAAAGAGTGACCAGAATTGTATGCAGTTTTCTGAAAGTGGCCTCACTTGTACAGCTGTACATTCCTGTACAGCTGCAACATGATGTCCCAACTCCTATACTCAACGTTTTTTCATAAGACTTGGGCATTGCTGCCTAGGTCAAGTTATTGCCCACTGACCATCTCTTAAATCAGGTGGGAGGTGCTCTTTGGAGAGTCAGTGCAGATGCAATGGGCCAAATGTACTGTAAGGATTATATGATTAAATCTCTCATTTCAAAACAATACCTTTTACACAAATGTAAGCCATTGATTGATTCAAAACCAAAAAACCTGAACGAATTTAATAGTAACAGCTTCATTGGTCTCATTCCTTTTTATTTCTGTGGAATTGGGTGCATTGAGTAAAAAAAATTAGAAGAAGTTGTTTTCATTTATGCAAAATTAAGAAAACCTCCCAAGCTGACAGTTGAAATACAGTAGTTTTGAATTAAGGCTGTAACCACCACAAGGTGGATTTTATAAAATCTTCCTTCTCTTCCAGCAATTTTTTTCTCCTTTTCACATTAATTTAAGGGTCATTTCCTATTTATTTGAATAGAAATTCATAGCATATAATCCATATGCTGATTAGTTGACCAAGCAGCTATTTGTCACTCACATACAACAGTGTGACTAAGCATCAGAGTTTCAGCCTGTTGTCGCAGCAAAAATGTTACTAAGTTGTCCTAAAAATGTTGCATAGAAGGTGTAGCCAACTACAGTAGGGACTGTCCGAGAAGCTAGAGTGAGAAGAATAGATTTTTACGGGGCTTCAGAGGAAGTTGTTTAACATAGATGGAAATTTTTAATTTGAACAGATAAATGTTCCAACTACTCCTTTTCTACACAGGTAAATCTGGCAAAAGCTTGCAGCTGTTATTTTACTGTGTCACGATCGACAAGGATGACAGTACAGAACAGTCGAGTTCTGACACAACAGATGAACAGAGTTGACAAGAAAATTATTAACTACATCCCTCACACCTGCAATACTCGAGTTTGATGTTAGACTGAATAAACTGATCAGCATTAAATCTGTGAATTTGTGTTTTGTTATACTTTACACCATGAAATATATACGCTACCCCCCGCCAAGATGTATATTACGGAAAGAACAGCTCGTTTCACCTTAACGTCAAAAACATTTATTCAATTAATATTTTTTAAAACCCAAATGTTGTCAACCTAGTAGGCTTACCTGGTGCAAAGGAATAGTTTGTAAATTATAGGCTAATACAAACAAGATTTTACATGTCCTTTTATTTCTAAAGTATCAGTGACTCACCCTGTCTCTGTTAAGGTACTGTATAAGTGAAAGTTGCAGCCACCACACAAAATGTTATTCAAAAGTTCAGCCCTTTGTTCTGTAGCTTGGATTGGAATATTTTATGGCCAAACACTATGCTAGGATATTTGTCTTGCCCAACTTTTTCCACTTTCACAGTGATACAGGAGTATTTCCGAAGTTTCCTTCTTTCTTTGTGATTACTTGATTTACACTACATTTCCCTTGTTGCACTGCCACTGGTGACACTGGCAGATTCACCAACAGCACTACAAATGAGAAGATACTTTCTTTTGCAAAAGCATAGGTAGTACGAGATAAACTAACAGTTGCTCCCAACAATTGTGTCAGTTTTTTTGTCATCCTTACAATTCACCGATTTGATCACTCATGCTGTTGTGTGGTCTTTTCCTTTTCATGGTGGAAAATCCAGCTTTCAGAAAATAAAGCTACAACTTCATACTCTCAGACAACAGATTTTTTTCGTAACTATTACTGTTTTGGAATATATTTCAAATTTTAATTCGACAGAATCCCACAGAAAACTTCTCCAATGAAGTGTTTTTTTAATATAAAAGATAAAATGTTAAGTTTATAGTTTTGGTTGACAAGTTGGCAGAACTTCACAAACATGAATTGCCCTGAACCACCTCAGTTTCAATCTAAGCCTGACATGTACTGGTTTCCATCAGCCACAATTACTCAAGAAAAGGGTTCAGATGAGCAAAATATTTTGGACTACTACTCAGATGACTACCCAGTTTAGCTTTTCTACACAACTGCTGTTGTGAGTGTACACGAAAGTCACATTGAAAACCTTTCCAAATTATGAGACAAAATAATTGGTTTTCAAATTTTTTCATAAAAGGGCAGAACGTACTCTCAATTTGCCAGCCTGAATCATTTTAACTATAGTGAGATATTAGCATTGCCCAAGGTTTACATAGCACACTGTTCTGTACATGGGATTCTGTATTGCATTCCTTTCAAAAAAAAGTTTTAGTTTTGTTATAACAGGGCTGATGGCTGTTAAATAAAAATGGCAATTCTGGACTTACTTCGTCATTCACCTGAAGGTATGCTATAAATGTAAAAAAAATAAAATCGATGTCTGTTTTAATACAATGTTTTTTTAAAAAACATTCTCAGTTCACCTAAAATCAAAAGCATCTTCCACCTAAGCCATCAAACTCAATGAAGGAATAAATATGAAGATATCCCTTTTACTATTTTGATAGAACAAAAAATAACATGTAGGAAAATGCTATGTTCCATTACTAAGTAGGAGTAGGACATTTAGAAAATAATACAATCAAGCAAAGTCAACGTGGTTTTGTGAAAAGGAAATTACGCTTTAACAAATTTATTAGTGTTCTTTAAAGGATAAAGAAAGTAGGGTGAATAGAGGAGTATGAGACGATATTGTAAATTTGAATTTCCAGAAGTCATTTGATAAGGTGCCACAAAGAAGGTTACTATACAAGAACTCATGTTATGGGGGTGCTTTATTAGCATGAAGAGAGTATTGGCTAAATAAAAGGAAACTGAATCAGATTAAAGGGTTCATTTTCAGATTCAATGTCCATGCTTACACAAGCTGCAGATGGACACAGTACCAATGCACTCCTCACAGGACCACCTCCAGAATTGTATCCCAGTTGAGAACTCCAAACACGTGAGCGTCAATATCTCACCTTAAGGTTGGTAGATAAATGGTATTTCTTTAGGCTTCTTTAACTTCCAACAGGACAGCAAGAAGAAACACCCTCCAAACATGGACTTGTAACTTCTCTACTTCAATTATTACAATTCACAATAACCATATTTGCATTTTAGCCTAGAAACTTTCATAAGCATATATAATTGACACGAGTGTCATTTTCATTTGCAATGAATCAGTAATACTTTCAATAAACTGAATGTAGGTTTTTACCGTTCATAAATTAAGATGATAGAGATAAATATAATGCCACTGCTGTGAAAATTAATCAGAGTCATTCTCTCTGATACATTGCCTATAATTTTCATCTTCCTCCTCTGAATCTTCTTCACTATTCCAGTAACTTTCAGATGAATCCTCATCTGGGTAATCGTTCCGCCAATTATTTTCTTCATTTTCATCATCCTCATCCTCATATGCTTCATCTGCAATCAGTTCATCGACAACCTGTAATACAAGTGACATCACACAATGTACCAAGAACATACCCGTCAGTTTGTACTGTCATACCATTTCCCAGGTCACAAAGACGCCTATTAGTCTGCATAGATACTCAATGCCCAAAGGCTATTGATTACAACAGAAAGCCTAGAATCACCGTACAAACGGTCTCCAGTTACCTATTTCTTGAAATACCATCTTGTTTTGAAGCAAACAGGAAACACTTGACTAATTATTGCCAAATTCACTTTGAAAGAAGACCAAGTAGACTGTGTAACTCACCAGTTCATTCTCTTCATAACACGGCATCACCGAGAGAATACCCTGAATTTCATCTCCTGTAATATAGCTGTCAGTATAGTATATGTCATAAACGTACTCCTCCATATTCTCCCGATGCTGTGTTCCTGGACCAGAATCAGACACTGCAAGCTTCTCTCGGATCATTTTTACAGAATTACACAGAACTATCTCAGTGTCATCCTGCTCCAGGTCAGGATCCTAAAACAGAACAAATCTTAAGTAAAATAATGGCTGCCATGAAGTGATTATTCATTGCTGAAGAAAACATGAATCTCCATTGATTTCAGTTACAGTGGCACATAGCTGATAGTTATGGTGCACTGGTATACTACCAACTGCAGATCACCTCTGAGTTACATACCACACAGAACTATAACACTGTTTATTCACTATTGCTGGATCAAAGTCCTGGAACTCTGTTCATAATAGCACTTTGGGTATCCCTGCACTGGAGGGCTGCAATAATTCAAGAGGTCACCTTACCACCACCTTCTCCAAAGCAATTAGGAATGCGCATTAAATACTGGCCTATTCATTCAGTTACACTGGAGTTTAAAAGTGGTAAAATCAATTGAGGATATTGTTCTTCTGGCTGTGAATACTGTCATTCCTGTTAATGTTTCAGCTCAACAACATTTTGTCAGAACATGATGGCAAAGTTTAACTGCCACAGGGGGCCTGAAGGATGGAAAACAATCCGATCACATCCAAAGCTGGTAAACATGGGGAAGAATACTATCGTCAAAGCTATGCAAAGCTCCCCACTGTTAACATCAATACAATAAAACCTCTATTGTCTAAAGCATCAGCAGCTGTTTTTTGTTAAAGAGTGTACGGGAATCAAGTTAAGTTCCCAAACTACAGCCATCTTTGCTTTAACCGGCACCTTATGAACTAGTACTCTCGATAAACCAGCAAAAAATTATAAAAACCAAATACTGGAAGTTGACTATATTATTGCAGTCTCCACGATGTCAGAGTAGTCAGGTGAACGTTCAAGTGAGGAAGCTCTCTGCCAGTAAGTTTCATACAAGGCAAAGTTGCACTATTATTTAAGTGATTCATACTGTAAATAAAGTATAACAGTGATGTATATATAAGTGATCTGTATTACTTAGTGTGTGTTTTTACATTGATTACTTGGGCCTCTTGATCAACCAGCACACTCCTGGTCCCATAGGTGCTGGTTATTTTAAAAAGGTTCCTCTAATTTCACACCATTCCACAAATAGAAATAAAAATGCAAGCATGATCATACCTTTCCACACATATTAGTCCCCAATCAGGACATGCTATAGATGGGATAGATCAGATCTTCACTCTTTTAAATTCACTCATAGGATGTGGACATAGCTGGTTGGACCAGTATTTATTACCTGTCCCTAGGTGCCCTTGAGAAGGGGATGATGAGCTACCTTCTTGAACTGCTGTAGTGCATTTAGTGTAGATAGATTCACAATGCAGTGATAGAGGGAGTACCAGGATTTTAACCCAGTCACATTGAAGGAACAACAATATATTTCCAAGTCAGAATGGTGAGTTTCTGGGAGGAGGTCTTCCCATATATCAGTTGCCCTTAACCTTCCAGGCGGTGTGATCATGGGTTTGGAAGGTGGTGTCTAAGGAACCTTGTTGAATTTCTGCAGAGCCTCTTGTAAATGGCACACACTGTTACTATATGTTGGAGGAGGAAGAAATGGACCAAAGGCATCTGTTGTCAGGATGATTCGCTTTTGATCAATGCCTGAAACAAACAAAGGAGGAGGAGTAAGGCATTCGGTCCTTTGAGCATGCTCCACTATTCAATACGATCATGGCTGATTGTCCAACTTTCTAAGTGAAGAAATTTCGTCTCATCTCAGTCCTAAATGGTTTATCCAATATTCTTAGACTACGATCCCTAGTTGTAGGCTCCCCTGCCGTCTGAAGTGTCCTTCCTGCATCTGTCCTGTTTAGCCCTGTTAGAATTTTATAGGTTTCTGAGACTACCCCACCCCACAACCAATTCTTCTGAACTCCAGCGAACATAATCATAATCGATTCCACATCTCCTCACGTGTCAGTCAATACACCTCAGTGTGCTGAATATTTAGCTCCAACCCCTTACCTACCAGCTGAGCTGAAAAGCATTTCTTTTCACAGCATACAAAGTATATTGAGTGATGGACAAATTTTTCCCCACAACACCTGGGAAAATTGAATCTGGGGATGACCAATCAGGAAAAAAAAAAATCACCATAAACAGAATGGAAGGAAATAGTGAGGAGCTGCTTATTCAATCACAGGCTGGTACTCTCCTGTCCTTGCTGCCAACAGTTTCACCAGTAAAGAGCTAGGAAAGGGGGAGGTGATGGCCTAGTGGTATTATCGCTGGACTGTTAATCCAGAGACCCAGATAATGTTCTGGGGACCCGGGTTTGAATTCTGCAATGGCAGATGGTGGAATTTGAATTCGATAAATATCTGGAATTAAGAATCTAATGATGACCACGAATCCATTGTCGATTGTCGGAAAAACCCATCACTCATGTTCTTTAGGGAGGGACATTGCCATCCTTACTTGGTCTGACCTACATGTGACTCCAAACTCACAGCAATGTGGTTGACTCTGAACTGCTCGCTGGGCAATTAGGAATGGGCAATAAATGCTGACCAGCCAACGACACCCTAATCCCGTGAATGAATTAAAAAGGGGGGGGATGGGCCGAGGGCCGGTTTACCTTTCAGTTGAGGGTGGGAGAATGAACCATATCCAGGGTTTTAGGGAAAGAAGGAAAATTCAAAGAGTTGTGGAGTGACAGGGAGCCTGCTAGTGTTTGGAGGGGCAATGAGACAAGAGGAGACAGAGACACTGAAGGAAGACAGGGAGGCTCCATAAGGTACGAGGCGATGGAAGCTTCAGAGACGCTAAAGAGAGGGGCACCTACTGGGGTGATGAGGTGGGGTGGTGGGAGCAGGCAAGGGGCACCAGCCAGCGGGGCACCTGTCTGGGGCATGGAAAACAGGGAGGCTGCTGGGGGCACGGGAGAGAGACAGGCCATGGACGATGGTGGGAGAGATGGCAGCTGTGGGTGGGGGTGAGAGAGTAGGCTGCAGGGCATGGGAAAAGGAAGTTTGCAAGGCGGATGAAGAAGAGAAATGGAGGCTGCAAAGAAAGGGAGAAGAATCAAAACATCTAGCAAAGGGATACTCATTTAACTGGGAGGCAGGAAAACTTGAAATCACTAATGAATTACAGGTAAATGAATGTAGAATCTCGAGCCTAATGTTGCGTATCTACCATATGACAAAAAAGGCAGTTGACGCCATTTTAAAAAAAAACTGTGTCAATTGTTAAATTTAAAGCTGAGATCAAGATCTGAGACAGTTACTATCCTTTTTACTATCTGGTTAAAATGTTCCAACTTTGTAAACTTGCAATGGAAACTCGAGCTAGATCTCAACCGTCTGGCAAGTGTGTTTCGTGTTTCGTTAGTTATTTTAAATTGTCCTTTTGTTCCCAATTTATACCCATGATCTTGTGCCAAATTAAATATTGCGCTTTCTATTGCTGTGGCTTTAAATTTAATGGATGGTTGAAATTATTGAGGATATTGATAAATTATTTTATTCTATTTCTGTGAATCCAAACATCCGTACATTAACACAAATACAGAAGGCAATGTTACCACGTGACTATACTACTCAACATGAGTTCGAGGGAATGAAAATCTAATCCCTGAAAATCAGAAAGGAACCTGAAAATTTTCAATCCTCAGGGTAAAACACTTGTGCCCCACCGTGTGTTCTAACCTGATCTGTCATCAGCTGAACAAACCTGCAGTTATAGAGGGTAGCAACTGCTCAAACATTAAACCAACCAGAATCCTGCTTCTAACCTTTCATTAGCTTGTGACTTCTGCTCACGTAGCATTTACCAGCAATGCTTGTAAGATGTTTTTTTTTATAATTAATTGCGAAGAGTAGAAGAGCAAGTCTCAACCAAACACAGACTATTTCCTGCAAAGAAAAGCAAGGAAGTGAAGCCAAACCTCTAATAATCACTGGCTGGACCTCAGTATTCTATCTCAGTCCGGTCACCACATATTAGGAAGGATACCAAGGTTATGGAGGTAGTGCAGAAGACATTTAATTAGAATAGTTTCAGATTGAAAGTCTTCAATTGGAGACTGGAAAGTTGGGATTATTTCCTTGGAACAGAAGGCAAAAGGGAAATTTAACAGACTAAAGATGGAAATTTTACCCAAAAGTTGTGATCTACCTAAAAAGTGTTGGAAACAACTTTCAAAGTGCAACTAAGTATTTCACAAGGAGTAAAACTCCCAATAGTGGCGAACTCAAACAGCAGAGTCACTAAATCAGTAGTTTGCTTCACTATGAAAACTGAAGCAATCTAGTACCATTGCAATAGTAACATGTAATGCAGAGATTATAGAAAGGGAAGAATTTAGAACAATCACCACTAGGGAAAAGGTACTGTGTGAACTATTAGAACTGAAGGTACACAAGTTCTCAGGGGTTTATGGCCTACTTTCTGGGGTTTTGAAGGAAGTGGCAGCAGAGAAAGTGGATCCATTAGTTATAATATTCCAAATCTCCCTGGATACAGGATAGGTCCCTGTGGATTGGAAAAGTGCTAATACAAAACCAGTTAGGGTCTCGGCCCAAAACGTCAGCCTTCCTGCTCCTGATGCTGCTTGGCCTGCTGTGTTCATCCAGCTCTACACCTTGTTATCGAAGACATTTAGAAAGCCAAAATTCAATCCATCACAATCAGTATGATTTTGTGAAGGATAAATTATGTTAGACTATTTTGAGTGTTCTTTGAAAATCTACCAAGCAACATGGATAATGGGGGTCTAGTAGATAAAGTATATCAAATGCCTTCTGGATGTCATAATAAGGTACCACTCAGAAGGTTATTACACAAGGCAAGACCAATGGGGTTAGGGATAATTTATTAGCTTTGGCTCGAGGATTGACTAACCATCAGAAAGCAGAGTCAGGATAAATGATCTTTTTCTGGTTGGCAAGGTATAACTGGTGGGATACCACAGGGTTCAGTCCTTGAGCTCCAACTATTTACAATCTATATTGATGACTTGGATGCGGGGATAAAAAGCACTATAACCAAATTTGCATATAACACTAAAATAGGTAGAAAGTAAGTTGCAATTAATACATCTACCAATGGATATGGATAGATTAGACAAATGTGCCAATGTCTGGCAGATAAAGCTCTGGATAAGTATGAGGTTATCCACTTTGGTTGGAGGAATGGAAAGGCAAATTATCTAAATGGAGAGAAACTTCAGAGTGCTTTGATGCAGAGGTATCTGCATGCCCTCATGCATTTATCGCAGAAAACTAGTCTGCAGATACAGCAAGTATAAGGTAGGCAAATGGAATTTTGCATTTATTGCTAAAGGAATGATGTATAAAAGTGGGTAAGTATTGCTGCAACTGTACAAGTCATTAGTGACTCCACACCTGGAGCATTGAGTATAATTTTGGTGCCTTACTTGAGACGGGATGTAGTTGTACTGGAGACAGTTCAGAGGAAGTTCACTAGGGTTGATTCCACAAATGACAGATTTGTCTAATAAAGAGATATTCTTTGGGATTTAGAAGAGGAGATATAATTGAGGTATATAAGGTGCTAAAGGGAATTGACAAAATAGGCATAAAAAAGATCTTCACGTAGGGCAATCTAGCACAAGAGGCCATAGCTTTAGGATAGGGGTAACAGACTTAAAACAGATGGGGAGAAGTTACTTCTTTCAAAAGGTCGATAATTTGTGGAATTCATTACCCGAGTGTAATGGATGCTGGGACATTGAGAAGTTTAAAGGAGAAGGCAGACGGATTTTTAAATTAGTAATGGGTTAAACTGTTATGGAGGGAGGGCAGGAAATTGGAATTGAAGCAGAGATGAGGTCAGCGATAATCACATCAAATGGCACAGCAGGGCTAGATTGCCTACTCATGCTCCTAATTTTTATGTTCAGGATTGTGCAGAGGAGAGAGAGAGCGGAATTAATTGCAGAGTACTTTCAGAAAGCTGGCCTAGGTAAATTAGGGCAATAGGCCTTTCTCTACTGTTTGATTCAACTATTATTGACAGCAAAAGTTAACAGATAATTTCACAAGTACCTGGCCTTACCTTAAAGAGTTTATGCTCTGAGTCTCGTTCGTCCTTTTCAAGATGTTCATTATGCTGGACAACATCAAACACTTGGATTTCTGCTGCAGATTCAACATTGTCTTTGTTACATCTAAAGGATGTTTCCTTTAAAAACAAGAACCATCAATATATATTTCTAAAAGTGTTTGAACGTTTGTTCAAAAAAAAAACTTAACCTAGATCAGAAATAACTCAATGCACCCCTCTGGGTCTCAGTATTGCTGGAAAACTGTAGAACAAATCTGTTTACAGCCATTTCTCTCTTATTTTCTTCATCCCCTTCCTTACCAAACAAAGCACCATTCCCCCCCTCACTTCCTATCATCCTCCTTTAATTCTCACTAATAAGGAAAGCTACTAATTTCAAATATTTCATCCTTCCAGAATTAAAGATCTACAATTACTAATTAACTGACTTAAATCATGGTAAAAGGTTTTTCTTTGCATCTTATCCAGAAGGTCATTCCAACTACAGGTCATTTTTAACATAATGAATTTCATTAATGCTAAATTTTCATTACGAACAATTTTAATGTTAATCTAGTACCCTGGAATAATTTTAAAACATCATCCTCATATTAATCTTTTCTGTGTTAACATATATTTAACATGTTTACAAAATTCCCTTTCAGTAGCGTCTTTTCATAGCTGATGATCTTACTTGTCTTCCCACAATTCAACCCCAAGAAACAGCCTGATTTCTGAATCTCTGCGGTACCTTCATTATGTCAGACTACCCTCTGTTACTTACTCCAGGAAGCATTAAAACTTGATCGATGATAAGAAAAATGAGCTTAGCTGTCAACTTTAGTTCAAATGAAACTAATGATCTTCCAACAAGTCAAACTGAACACTAAATTACAAATAACTTGAGGGGAGGAGGACGACAATGGCTGGCTTTCTACTCATTTCTATTTAATTTCTTTCAAGCTGGTGCATGCAGGTTTATGGGTATGAGATTCAGACAGATTCAACTGGAAACCACATATCTTCACCATAGTCTCACAGCTTATCAACATTCTCTACTTGAACTCTCATATGAAGAATTTCCGCTTGCAACTGATGCTGAAAGGCTGTTGCCAGCCATTTAAATGTATTCCAGCATGACACAAAATCCTAAAGAAAGGATGACAGTAACCTGGGGAACAGAAGAATGATTAACATAGCAGAGCTTCTTATAAATCACAAACTGAAGATATCAGGAGAAGGGAATTGCCAACTCACTGGTAAACAGTTATTTCCATTTACAACAGTCTCATATCAATTATTGCTCATCAGGCAGGCAGTTTTTAATAAAGTTGTCTTTAATAAGAGCCAATATACATTACCTTCCAGCTATCTTGGTTTTCTTCACACCGATCTCCAGAAGTTTCTGTTTCAGGCTGGTGCGCACACTTCACATCATCTGACTGAGATTCAGAAAACTCTGTGGAAAATGTTCTTCTGTGGCTAGCAATAACTTTGTACCGATTCTTCTCACTAGTTGTCTTGCAAGATGCTCGTGCACAGAGCTGGATACGCCGAACACTGGTCTCAGAAGGTTTAAGGGCCAGTAAAGCTTTGTCTTTTGATAGTGCTTCTTTCACATGCCTTGGAACGGGGTCATCCTACAGAGAGATGACTACAAATAAATCACTAAAATAAAAGTAGTTTTGGCTAGACAGTATAGGTTTAATGTGAGAGGGGAAAGATTTAAAAGGGGCTTGAGGGGAAAAATTTAAAAGGGGCTTGAGGGGCAACTTTCTCATACAGAGAGTGGTGGGTGCATGGAATGAGCTGCCAGAGGAAGTAGAGGAGGGCGGGTACAATTACAACATTTAAAAGGCATCTAGATAGGTACATGAATAACAAGGGTTTAAAGGGATATGGGCCCAATGCTGGCAAAGGGACTAGATTCATTTAGGATATCTGGTCAGCATAGACGAGTTGGACTGAAGGGACCTTCTGTGCTGTACAGCTCGATGACTTGGCTCGAGAAGTTAACTCTAATTCATTCCACAAACGTAATACTTTGCTTTTGTTAGCAGCAGCTTTTCGTCAATAAATACTTTTCTTAAAGAATGAAACAATTTTGAATGCGCGACCAGAAATATCGGAAACAAACTGAGGTCCCCGGCCGGGCCTTACCGGAGTACCGACAGTAGCGGCCAACTTAAACAGGGTCCGCACGACATGCTGCCCAGAGCCAGGCTCGCCGGCCTCATCGGCAGCCCGCAACCGTTTGCAGGCGAGAAGGAAGGCCTCGGCTGGCTCAGCACCGCGTTTCCGTTTCACCCGCAGCACCGCAGCCGCCATGACAGCGTTCACAGACCCTGCTCCTGCTCCGCCCCCACAAACGGTCCGCTGAATAGCCCCGCCCACTCACTGACCCCGCCCACTAGATGGTCACGCCCATGCGTAGCACGGCGCCGATCACAGACCCCGCCCCTTCCCTGGCTCCACCCAATGACCCCGCCCATTGCCCCGACCCGCAGATTACCCCCGCCCATGCGTTGGCACCGCTCCGTACCCAGGCCAGCCTACCCGCTGGCACCACCCAATGACCTCGCCCGCCCCGACACTGATTCTTCCCTCACACAGCCACTCAACGACGCTCCTTTATATAGACCCCCATTCCCTGGCGCCTTCACCCAGCCTTAACCCGAACACTGACTCCGCCCACTAACTGATCCCCCTCCACCGAGATACCGCTCTCAGGCCCCACCCACTCGCTGACTCCACCCACTTACTACACATTACCTTCCAGCTATCTTGGTTTTCCTTTCACACCGATCTCCCGAAGGTTTTGTTCCATGCTGGTGCGCACACTTTACAACATCCAACTGAAAATTTTCTTCTGTGGCTAGCAATAACTTTGTACTGATTCTTCTCACTGGTTGCGTTGCCTGGTTTGACCAAGTATTTGTTAAAACCCGTTTCCACAACCCTATCACATACCTCAGGGACTGCCTCCGGCTCTGACTCACTCCACGTGGATTCATCCCTCACCTTTTGAATCCTCCCAGGATCATAGTGATGTTCAACGTTCCACGGCCAGCTGCTCGCACCCATCCTGAGATCTACTTTCAGTGGCATTCGGCATCATATGCACGCTCCCGATCTTTCTCTCCAACAGCATCACAACACACTGGCTCAGCGTTGCACCACTCCAAAGTTCCATTTCATCCTCCAGCTCATTTGTCATGCTAACAAGAAACTTTTCCTTTCACGCATCCAGGCCCACAAGATGCAACAATTCAGATACCCATGGCTCTCTGGAACCATCCTCTCTCCTAATTTCAGTTCCTGTTGGGTATTCACCACCCCTCCTAACCTTCCGCTCTCCAACGCTGAATGTTCTGTACTGAGTGAAGGCCTCAGCTTTATTCATCTGCGTCCCCACCTTAACGAATTTTGGGCACAACAAAATGTCGAATTCTTCTGGTGTCTTCGCCTCCATGCCCATTTCTTTGGGCAAGAGACATCTCTCCGTCCCACGGACCCCTTCGCCCAGCTCCAACACTCTCCCTGCCCCTGGACCCCTCCTTCCGGCCTTTTATGTGCACACTATCTGTTCATTGAGAACTGTCGATGCGATAGTGGTTGTCTCAATTTCTCTGTTCCCTAACCACATCCAACCTATTCCCCTCCAAACTGACTGAATTCCACCTTCCCTGACGCCCGACTTCCCCAAACCCAGCTCACACCAAAACTAAAACAGAAGTTGATGCTAAAACTCAGCTGGTCTGGCAGCAACCTATGGGGAGAAAGCAGAGTTAACGTTTCGGGTCCAGTGACCCTTCTTCAGAACTTCATCCGCTGCCCAGCTGTGTTTTGTGGTACCACCCACCAGATAGTCTGATTTCATCTCACACTTTAGACACACCGAATCATATAATTTAAAAGGAAAAACAGTTTTGAACATCTTATAAAAATCATGGTTTGGATTAAGCAATGAATAGCAACTCTAAAACTTTTTTGTGCCAATTACATGCAGCAGGCATAGTCTTTCTATATGGTAACAGTGCCTGTTTTGGGCAGTGGTGTTGAAGGAAGCATACTACAGTCATTTTCTATATGTACATAATCCTTCAATGACGAACGGATTGCACATTTAATGTAAAGGATGAAGTGGAATCAAATGGGCTACTTAAGTCCTAGATGGTACCAGGCTTCTTGAATTTTGCAGTTACACTCATCCAGACAAATGGACTGATTGGTGCCCTCTAAGATAGATGACAGGACATGAATTACTCATCTCGGAATAATTTAGATATTTGGCCCAGTTTCTACTCAACAGTTTCCTCTAAAATATTGTTATCAAGGGGATGCTGCATGATAAAGCCAGTGAAGGTTCAGGGATGATGGTGATTGTCTGGCATTTGTGTGGCACAAATCTTATTTACATAAAGACTGTCCCTTTCTATTTTCCTGAATTTTTAATAGGAAAAGAATTGTTTAAAAAACCAAGGTATACTGAAGGAATACTGCTGTTTCAAAAGCAAGTAACTTCTTAATTATTGTTTGCTCAGCTGCTAGTTATCTGTAGTTGAATGTGCAGAGAAGCTGGAACCAAGTGCATGTACAAACAACTATTCAGCCAACAAGTCCACAGACCAATGATAAAGAAATTCTGTCCAACAACTGTGCAATTGGTTTTCAGTTAACTGAGAAGTTTAGGGCGATGAACAAGATAGGGAGACTCTCAGCTCTCCAGCAGCTTAGGAGCTCTCTGTTCTCTACGGTAAAAGTGACTTGAGGCCTGAAGAAAAGTTGGTTTTTCCCCCAGCAGTTGCTGAAAGTTGTGACTTTACCTTAATGAGTCAGAGACTTTTCACAAGTGTGAACTGACCACCTGCAAACCAGTGAAAGCATCTGGTGAAAGAAGACCAGGAAACAGAATTCTTATCAACAGAAAAACCATCTCAGCAGATTCTGCAAAGTGACCAATGAACTGATTTTCCAGGTTTCCCTCAATTTGTAACACATGTTCTTTTTTCTTCCCCTCTGTCTGTGTGTGTCTCTATGTAAGAGAGAGTTTATAAGAGATTAAAATTTAAACTAGTAGAGTTATATGCTGACGGCTCAAATCTTTACCTGTAATAAACTGTCATTCTTATCATGTAAGGAAACCTGGTCCATAATTTCTGTCATTCTAAGTCTAAGAGAGAAGTTAATTGTATATTTCCTCATATTTCAAAAAAAATCTTTAACTTTTGTGATAACTCTGGGAATAGCAGGACTTGACTTCCAGCATACTAACCTGGTGAGGCATCACATTGTCTTTGATCAGCCAAAACCTGAATTTTGTCCAGGTATCATTGCATATGGACACAAACAGTTTCAGTTTCTCAGAAGCTGTGAAATGATACCAAACATTTTTCAATCTGCAAACAGCCCTACTTCCGACCTTATATTGGAAGGAAGGTCATTCATTGATTAAGCAACGAAGATAGTGGGCCTAAGACGTTAGCCTAAAGAATACCCATAGTGTCCTGGGGCTGAGGTGATTGGCCTCCAACAATCACAACTGTTTTCCTCTTTGCAAAGTATGCCAAGAAGTGAAAATTTTCCACCCAAATCCCACTGATTTCAATTTCACTTGGGTTCCTTGATACTGCATTTAGTCAAATGCTGCCTTTCTGTCAAGGGCAGTCATGCTCACTTCAACTTTTGAGCTTCACTCTCCTGCATAAGCTTAACTAGAGTAAAGGGGCAAAAAGTCAAAGTTGAAGGGCAATAGAAAAAGACGCAGTTCATGGCAGAGGAAAAAAAAAGTTATGGATAGGTGAAAAGGGAGGGGGAGAATTACAGGCAAAATGTAACAGTAAGTGCAGAAGGGTCAGGGTTAAATTGATTTCACATTTTCTACCTTCACAAAAACAAAGCAAGGGGAAAAAAATACAAATCTGAATAAAGGGACTTGTGGATGTAAAGAATACTTGGTTTTTGTGCGTGACAGGAAAGTATTGATATTCTTGTTTATACTTTTTAAAAAGAAAACAGGAAGGGGATAATAATATTAATAATGGGGTAAATATATTTATCCAGATACTAGTGTTCAACTGATATCTGTCTGAATTACGAAAGAATGAGGCATTTATGACCATATTGGAAACATTATCAGCTAACATATATTGGGATGGGGCGAAAATTGTAAGCAATTTAAAAAGGCACAGTCATAACAGGTACAGGTTTCTATTAAGTATATAATCCTTTCCTTAAATTGCATGTTCAACAAGTAGGATGGAGTGCCATATGGGATAATAGGCATCAAATCATTAACAAAGAGCCTGAGGGTAGCAGAATAGGGATTAAAGAGACTATTCCAGAAGGATGTGACAAGGGATCTGTAGCAAGGCCTTAGCTTTCCATATGTTTAATTGGTGCATGAAGGAATAAAGTTATATAGCCAAGTTTGTAGATGACACTCAGTTAGGATTCAGTACATTTTCACTGGAAAAATGGTTTACAGGGATATAATTGCTCCTTTTAGAATTCTGAATGATTATATAATGGAGATCATGACAAAGATATCATTTTCAGAATAACTATAGGCTGCTTGGCCTGTGTTTCAAAGTGGAGAAAATCACAAAAATTGGAAACAATTTTTTTTAAGTGAATGTCCAATTTGTGCAGCAGGTTTCCTATTAGAAAAAATCTAACATTAATTAGATATACATTAGATAGATTTCTTTGACAATGAAACAGATTAGGAAAAAATAAGATGTATCATGATAAATATAACAAATCTCGGAAAAAGAGGGTGACTTTCAAACTACTGCCTCCAAATCACCGGAGTCAACCACAACCTTTACCACCTAAAATGACAGTTTTGTTAGGAAAGGGTACCAAGAGTTTATGGAACAAAGATAGGCAAATTGAACTTTGGTTCAAGCCACACATGGAGCTGGGAATGGGAAAATTGGCAAAGGGAAACAAGAATTACACAGAGTCATGCTGCACAGAAACAGACCCTTCGATCCAACTCGTTCGTGCCGAACAGACATCCCCAATTTGTCCCATTTGCCAGCATTTGGCCCATATCCTCTAAACCCTTGCTATTCATTTATCCACCAGCTGCCTTTTAAATGTTGCAATTGTATCTGCCTCCACCTCTTCGTATAGCAATTTGTTCCATATATGCACACACACTGCATGAAGGAGTTATCCCTCAGGTCCATTTTAAATCTTTCAGCTCTCACCTTAAACTTATACCCCCTTGTCTTGAACTCCCCCACCCTAGAAAAGAGATCATGGCTATTCACCCTATCCATCCCCTCTATAAGGTCACCCCTCAGCCTCCGACACTCCAGGGAAAAAAGCCCCAGCCTATTCAGCCTCTGCCTACAACTCAAACCCTCCAGAAC